ATATTAAATTAAAATTGTACCAATCAATCTGTTTTCGAAAATTAAACTAGACATACATGCAGGTGGGTGATGTCATTATCAATTGGTGGGTGAAACACTGCAACCACAAATATAGAACCTGTGGTTAACTCCCAGGAAAAGTAATTATAAATAAGAAAACCACACCAAAATAGTGAGCGGCAAGGGGCAAAGCCACTTTCATCTGTTTCCATCAAAACTACATATCAATCCATCCATCATCACCAAAAAGAAAAAGGAACCCATGGGAATCTCTTTCCTTTCTCTTTCTCCCATCATTTTCTGCTTCCAGTTGCAGTTAAATGGATACAAAAATGCTGCACACTGCAGGCAGGCACACAGCAAACTCAATCCTCTCTTCAATTCAATTTTTGCCTTTCAGCCACGCCAAGTCACGTCAAAAATCTGTTTGAAGTCTCTCTTCTCCCATTAATCTCCATATATTTTTTTAAATAACAAACTTCCCTACTTTAATTACCGCTGGAAACGTGCACGCATCAATGTGATATCATAAATTGGCAGCCAAACATCAATTGCTCATTGAAACAAAACTTGAGTCGTTGGGATTTATAGGTTTTGGGATTGTAGTTATCTTTTATTTTCTATTTTTTTTAATGAAGTTAAGTAGTAGTTGTCTTAATTTGATGGTACACATATATTTAAACAATATTTTTTTATTATATAAATAATAATTATATTTTTTTCATTTTATTTAATAAAGAATTCAATTTCTACTTATATATTATAAAAAAATATTATCTACACATATGTGTACAATTAAACTAAAAAGACGAAGTTATGTTAAAAAAAAAAAAAACTAAAAAGACGAAGGGAATACTAACTTAGGTATGAAATTTATGATATATTTACTTCCTTTTAGTTTGTGGTGCAGGCTGGCTCTTAGCTAGCTAGGTTTAATCAAAACACTAGAAAAATAATTGTAGTGGTCTTTAATTGCATGTATGTACAGTTAGAAAAAGTGATTTCTTTTTAGTATTTTAAGTTTGATGTCAATATTAAGAAATTGGATTATTGGAAGAATCTCTTATTGTTAGCTAAAACTAGGCACAACCGACCATGATAAAGCTTATGATGTAGCCACTTGGGTTCTTCATTTGTATTTGAGACAAAAAGAAGAAAGTAATTTAGGGTACTCATGCCTCCACATATTAAAAGAATTAAGCTAATGGTTGTGCTTTAGTTTCTTTTTCTCTTTGCTATTAAAGAGAGATAGCATTTTGTAGGGTGTAGACAAAATTTAATTATCATAATCAAATCTAAACTCTAATTGATACTCCTTATGCTTTTTAAATTTTGATGAGTTAAATAATATAAAGTAATCATCTCCTAACAAAAGCCTTTTATTTGTTTGATTTAATTTTTTTTTTTCTAAACCTGTTTCCATATTCAAGTTTTAGACCTGATTTTACTGCTCCCATTCCTATTTGTTGAAACATTAGATATATTCATTTAATAATTAACTCTTATTATTTAATAGCATATAAATTTAAATGCATTTATCAATTTAATGTTATTAAATATTTATTTTTTAAAAAATTTTACTCATAATATTTTCAATCACAATAAGTTTTACAAGTGATAAAGTAAAAAATTCACTATTTTACAATTTAAATTTTATTAAAAAATTTATTATTTTAAAATAAAAATTTTTAAATAAAAAAGCACCTTTAACATTAAAATATTCACTTCAAAATTTAAAAATTTATATTTTAAAATCTAAACTATTTCAATTTAAAAATAAAATTTTGTAAAGTAAAAACCACGAACTTTTTTTCTATTCTTGGAAAAAAATTCTATCCCAAAATCTTTTCTCACACCCCAAAGCGAAGTCAATTAGTACCAAATGATGGGTAAATGTGGCATGAACCACTGTTTTTGTCTGCTTTATTGGACTAGGAAATATAGGAAAGTAAAAGTGCCAAAATTTTGAGAAGAGAGTGAATGCAATGGCAGGTGTGCAACAGTAGGAGCACAGCCGTAGCTTGTAGGGAAGTAGCATCAACTTCCATTCCGGGGGGTGTTTCCCTCTGGACAGACAGCTCATCCCCCGTCCGTCCGTCCGTCCGCTCACTCAAATCTTGTGACCAAAGGATCAAGTCAAAACGCAAATGCAATTACCATATTGTGCCCACACCATGCCTATAACTACAACATAGTACTGCTTCGCAGATCCCAACACAATCGCCTTAAATGCATGCGAAACAGCCATACCCCACTGGCCACTACCCTCTCCCCCCAATGGTAGTCTCGTCTATTCCCATAATCCCGAATCTGGACCTTGGACTGACTCGGGTATTAGGGGTCCCCCACCCTCTCTTAAAGTTTGGAATTTTTACTATTGCCCTTCACGTTTCAATACAGTTTAATTAATCTTTAATTAACCCTTCAATTTTGTGTGGAGGATCACTCTTCATCCATGCCGTTTACCTCATTGCAAAAATTGCAAAATCTCTTCCACTAGCAACCTCAATTGTCTGGGAAATTATGAAGCAAAATGATGCTATGAAGTGGAAGAGACTAAAAAGATGGAAGGTGAAAGGCCAAAACTAATAAGAAAGAACACCAACTTTTAAATTTTTTCTTTGTGAAAATAATTTTTATTGTTATTAATCAAAATGTCAGTTTTACATTTTTTTACTAAAGATATATTAAATGGAAAACATGTATGTGTTGTTAAGTACCAATTAAATAGCGTTATGAAGGTTTGCTTAAGGTTAAAAAGCCAATATTAAAAAAGAAATATTAAAAAAAGAAAGATTAATAAAAAAAATCCTTTTTTGACATTAGTTATAAGACGTTACAACTTACAACTCCTTTCCCTTCTTCCTGAGTAATGATATTGCAAACTAACAATTGAACTTTGCAAGAATCCAAAAAACCGAGAAGACAAGAGATAGGAGAAAGATGAGTTTTATATCCAAATTTAGAAAATAATAATAAAGAAGGGAAAACCTTTTGCTAAAATTTTCAAATTAGCTCCTTAATTGCTAAATAGCAACATGTGATTCTACTTATTTTTATGAAAAATGCAAATAGAAAAGGAGAAAAAATAAGATTTACCAAAAGAGCTCATACTTAATTAAAAACAATAAAAAATTAGCATCCTTTATTAAAAATATACGAATTCTTATATCCTTAATTCTTTATTAGGCCAAAAAGGAAGAGACAAGAGCCAGATTCTCGGCCATAGCCTGATAGCCCCACCTTTGTAGGTCTTTTCTTTAAATTTTTTTACACGCATTAATAAAATAAAAAGGTGATCTATATTGCTTCTTATCAAAAAAAAGAAAAAACTGTTATACAATACTCATCAATTGTACTTAAATTACACAACAAAAAATTTTCAATAACCCTCTTTTTATTTAAAAATATTTATTTTATAATTTAATATAATTTAAATTACAAACTAATATCCTCATTTAATTTATCATGCACAACTAAATATCTTATTATTATTAATAAGATTTTTTTAATACATATTTTTAAGATACATGTTAAGAATATATTAAATATATTTTTTTATCATAAATATATATACAAATATAAAAATAGATATTAATTTTAATATTTAATAAATTAAAATTTAATTTTTATT